CTCACCTGCCACATGAGTGGGTCTAATTCACATATGTGTTGACAGGCTAGTGATCTAATTCACATATGTGTTGACAGGCTAGTGATCTAATTCACATATGTGTTGACAGGCTAGTGATCTAATTCACATATGTGTTGACAGGCTTGTGATCTAATTCACATATGTGTTGACAGGCTAGTGATCTAATTCACATATGTGTTGACAGGCTAGTGATACTGTAGATGAACTACTTAGACTACTCAGTCACCAAGGCCCCCATTTTCAAATTTAAAACGTTGTGATCTGATTAACTAATGGAAAATACAAACTAATCAAAAACAGGGAGTTGCATAGAATTCTAGAAGTATCTTCTAAAAGATGTCAAGGAAATTTATCTGCATTAATAAGTTAAAGATCTTAAAAATGAGGCCATATTGATTATGATAATTTTCCAAACAATGTTTTCATTATCAAACAAAAGCTGATGAAAAAATTTGTAAGGGTTCCGCGGAACCCAGTGTCTCAACTACTTTTGCTGCTAGTCACAGGCTCAACAAAAATGGAGAAAAAATCAATTAAAAATTTTCTTTATAGATACTATCTTTTGATTGTAAGAAGCTTCTGTCTAAGTTTGGTAAAAATACAGAATGGTTTATGAATCTAATAAATGTTTTAAAAACTTTAACTACAGACTGTATGTAATGTTAATTTATATATATATATACCCCCCCGGTAACTGGCAGAAAAACTAAGTCCATTGATAAGTAATATACGGAAAAACAGGACGTATATTTTTACAAAATTTCCTTCTAGATACTAGCGTTTGATCATAAACAAGCTTCTGTCCAAGTTTGGTACAAATCCAGGATAGTTTAAGAAAGTTATTAGAATTTTAAAAACTTTAACCACAGAGTGAATGTAATGTTAACTGGCAGAAAAACTAAGTCCATTTATAAGTAATATACGGAAAAGCAGGAAATATATTTTTACAAAATTTCCTTCTAGATAGTAGCTTTTGATCATAAACAAGCTTCTGTCCAAGTCTCGTACAAATCCAGGATAGTTTAAGAAAGTTATTAAAATTTGAAAAACTTTAACCACAGAGTGAATATTTGTGGACGCCGCCGCCAACGGAATGTAGGATCACTATGTCTCACTTTTGCAACAAAAATCGCAGGCTTGACAATAAAATATAAAAGCTTACAACCAAACCTTCTAAACTTCAACATTACAAAACAAGAGGCCCCTAAGAGCCTGAATCGCTCACCTTGAGGTTTTTTTTGTAGATCTTGCATCAATGATTATTTTTCTGTTTAATGTACAAAAAAATGTATATTAATGTTATTCAAACAGGTCATTTCTTTCTATCTATCATAGTTTCTGCAACAACAAAAAAAATGTTCCAAACAATCTTTTAAGGGCAATAACTCTTTAATAAAAGGGGTTAATTGTCAATTTTGGTTATTTGACATATCTAATTTGCTGAAGATATATATCATAGTTTCTGTAAAATTCTAAATAATTAAGTAAAAATTATCTTTCAAGAGCAATAACTCCTTTAAGAGATCAATTGATGATTTCGGTCATGTTGACTTATTTGGAGGTCTTACTTTGCTGAACATATCTGCCTTTCAAACTTTCTGTCTATCCATGATAGAGTCTGAAAAGAACTTAAAAATTCAATAGAAATCTTTCAAGGGCAATAACTCCTATAAGAGATCAATTGGCAAATTCAATCCTCAGACTTATTGGTATATTTTACTTTGCTGAACATTTTTGCTGTTTAAAATTTCTCTTAATCTATAATATTTTATAAAAATTACTATTTCAGGGACAAAAACTCTAAATTGGAGGTGTCCCATTCATCTGAAACATTACCTTCATTTAATCTAAATCTTGATCTCCTGATTATTTTTTCCTCTAACTGTTTTACCCCCTATGTTCTAACATAGCCATGGTAGCCATGTTTGTTTACCAAACGGAATAAAAAACACACACTTTATACTAGATACCATAGTGATCATTTTCACAAAGTTTGGCTGAAAATGGTTCAGTAGTTTCAGAGTAGATCTTTGACTACAGTAAACCTACTCGAAAGTTTTATGACTCTATACCCCTTGGAATATATAGATACCACAAAAAGACAAAAGGACATCAGTGTTAACAATCTCAGATCAAGCAGCAAACATGTTTTACCCTGCCACATTTTGTTTGTGCCTCTCCTAAGTCTAGGAGTCTGTAATTCAGTGTTTGTTTAGTTTGTTGCTGAATATAATATTTGTTTTTCGTTTATTATTTTGTACATAAATCAGGCCGTTATTTTTTTTTATTATTTAAATTGTTTTACATTTGTCATTAAGGCGCCTTTTATAGCTTACTTTGAGGTATGGGTTTTGCTGATTGTTGAATGCCTGATACAGTGACCTATAGTTGCTAACTTCTATGTCATTTTGTCTCTGGTGGAGAGTTGTCTTATTGGCAATCACACCACATCTCCTTATTCTTATTTGATAACATTACAAGTACATTTAAACTGCATTAAATTGATAAAACTTCTTTTTTTAAACGTAACTAGTTAATATTCTTTCATATATTTTTATTTTTGCATGTAAAATATTATCTTTCAATCAATTATTCATATAAATTACCTTTTTTCAGTTGTAATTTAGTATTTAATGATTAATAATGTATATATACATTAAAGTGAGAGAAAAAAATATGTTTTAAATTATGAATTGCATTATGAAACTTCCTCTATTTAGCTTTTTAATGTAAAAAGCATACAGAAACCTTGTCCCATATTTTGTTTGAATTTCTGGACCAAAACATCGTTCTTTTATTCTCTGTACTTTAAGATCTTTACTATATCCGTTAGCTTTTAATAATAGGTTTTAAATATAACAATAAAATATTTAAATAAAAGTAAACTTATTCATAGCCAAAAGTGGGGAAAAGGTATGAAATCATTAAAAGGAAATGTACGACAAAAAATATATAAATAAATTTAGATTTCATGCGTAAATATATGACAGAGTTGTAGAGTTGTTTAGTACTGTTCTACCCATAATAAAAGATATCCCTGGTTACAACGATATCATACTAGGATGAACTTAGAACTAGGGGGTCTATACACAATTTTCATACTTTAAATTTGTTGGTTGCTGTGCATTCTGTCATACCGTCAATATTTTTCTCTTCAAGGTGACATGGTAAAATTTAATCAATTTTTAATTGAATATTACAAAGACCGAAACATTCTTCGTCTAAATATATAAAACTATGTGGGGTAGCATAAATATTATTCTTCTTTCCCCAAAAAATGTATAAAAAGCAAAGATAACTGCACAAACTAATTAATCATAGCCCAACACAAACTTATACATGTATACATGTTAAAATAAATGAATACTGGACTAGACAGTAAACCAAGAACAGGATTTCTAATTTCTGTGTACACTACACAGAGGTGGCTCAAGATATTTTCAAAAGGGTGTTCCAACCCAGGATAAAGAGGGGTTCCAACCATATGTCCCCATTCAAAAGCATTGATCGTCAAAAAAAAAAGGGGGGGGTTCCATGGATTGATTGATTGTTGGTGTTAAACAGCACTTTGATCATTTCTTGGCTATTTAATATCAGCCATACCGGGTATTTTTTTATTATTGTTCAGGAAGCCAGACTATGTGCAGAGAACCAACACTAGTCAGCAGGAAAACTAACAATTTTAGTCCATCAAGATCAGAGTCAAACACACCTTGCCAACACCAGGGGTCAAACTCACAACATTAATGTTGAAATGCTTAAGTGATCATTGTAGAAGAACTACTTAGACCACTAGGCCACCAAGCCCCCCCCCCCCCCCCCCCCCCCCCTCCCTTTCCACACAACACCTTTTTCTGGACTTATTTTCATCCTGCATGCACAACAACAAAAGTTAGGAAAGTAAAACCTTTCCAGAGCACAAAAGCAATAAATTGCTTCACAGAGCGCAGCTGGATACGACCGCAGAGGTCCAACCCTGAACAGTTGGGGCAAAAATGGACACAATATTCGCGCTTGATACAGGTCAGATTTTGGATTGTAATTCAACATTTGACACATAATAGGTTTCTGACACAGAATAACTGTAGTCAAAGAACTTAGAATTGGTTATATGATTTGAATTTATAATCAATTTTTTGCTTTCGTGCAATACACTATGCTGTTGCAAATTGACCTCCCCCCCCCAAAATAATTTTTTTTTTTTTACCCCCCTTCCCCTTCTTTTTCAAAAAAAATTCTTTCCCTCAAGACATGGTCATAATCTCAATTCAAATTTTCAATGGAGTTTGCAACCATAATAACCCATTTAAATACATCATAACAGTCTTAAAATAGAAAATAACATACATAATCATAGCTAAAATTAATTTACCTTAATCAGCATTTTTAAAATTATAAAAATAGTAACTTCTAAAAATGAATTGACAGCTAATCACCTCAAGACAATACAACATTTCTTAATACATAATTTAAAAGCAGTGTAAGGGAGGTAATTCAAAGTTGTGTTTAAATTACCTCCCTTACACTGTAATTTGTACTTAAGTAATTGTCCATTAACCAGGACACCCTTGTTTTTTTCTCACTTTTTTGCCCCTAATTCCTAAACGGTTTGAGCCATTACCCCCCCAAAGCCAATCCTAACCATCCCTATGGTATGGAAACTTGTGGTATAATTTTAGAGAGATCCATACACTGTTCCACAAGTTATTGTCATGAAACTAGAAAAATGCTTATTTGGGCCCCTTTTTGGCCCCTAATTCCTAAACTGTTGGGACCATAACCCCCAAAATCATTCCCAACCTTCCTTGTGTGGTTATAAACCTGATGTTTAAATTTCATAGATTTCTATTTACTAATACTAAAGTTATTGTCCAGAAACCAAATGTCTTTGGACAACGACAACCTGATACCAATATACGACCGCAAAATTTTTTGCGGTCGTATAAAAAGGTCCGCATTTATATAATTACTTTTCATACCATTTTTTTTAGACTTTAATTAAATATATATGGCAGTTGATCAGCTGTCTCAATTTGGTGTTGCTTAAGACTTGAAGGATTTTGAATTTTTTCAATGGTCCTCTTCATCAATTTATTCTGTAATGTTAATCTCAATAAATTCTTTTCCGTCTGGTCTTTTATAAATATTTATCTGAAAAAAATTAAATCAAAATAAATATAACACGAACTTACAAAGGGACTTTCAAAATCATATTTTGAAACCAAATAGCCATGGCAAAAAAGGAAAAAAACAAAAAAAGATAAACAACAGCACACAATACACAACACACAAAACACAATACTTTACAGTTTTTTATGTTTAATTACACCTGGCCAAAGTAAAACACATATGATCATGATCGTTCAAACTTGAGGCAGTCATAATTGTTATATTCTTGAAGAAGGTTGTCGTGAAATCAGACACGTAGCTGACCTTTTTCCTTCCCTAAAATGGTAAAAACTTATTTGTCTATAAATATATACAATGACAGATTTTCTAGCAACAAACAATGGTTGATCACGCACTTTTAAAATAACTTACATACACCAAAACACTATTTCAGAAATTAGCATTATAAAAGCTGTGAATAAATACATCTGTTGATTTCAAAACCTGAAATTGAAATTGGTATTATTTATGAAATTTGACATTCTCAGCCATTTCAACTCATTTTTTAACACTTTATGAAAACCTTATAAAATTTTAACAGTTTGATGCTTTCATCTCTATAGAACAAGTTAAATATGTGTCCATAAAGGGGATGAATGGTAAATGTTGGTTAATGAGCATAAAACATTTGTTGGGGTATATATATGTAAAATGGTAATTTTAGATTAAATATATTAACTTGGACATGTTGAAGAATACCACAGTAAATTTTTGCATTACATTTTTATATCTCAGAGTGACCAGTCTGACCAGTCATCATGTGAATAAGATGAGATATCGGGCAAAATCATCAATTAGACAACATGAACCCAAATGACATAAATAACCAAAAGACATATACAGGCCTATACAGAATATACACTGGACCTGAACTTAAACAAGCATCAATCAATCAATCAATAAATAAATCTATACAATGTATCAAGCTTTAAATTCCCCAGATTAAATTTACCATACCCTGGACATTAAGCAACCAACAATCAATCAATACAATATCATATGTCAAGCTCTAAATTGCCAAGAGTAAATAAAATATTGGGAATCAAAGACCTGCCAGTAACAAAAATTTATATAAATATATAAAAAAAAATTCTAAATATGAACAACATAAAAATACTGACAAGGTTCCTGACTGGGGATAGACAGATGAAAATGTGGCATTGTTTAAAATATTTTTTTTATTCTCAACCCTCCCCCTTTTCATCTCAAGTCATTTACATTTCATGATTGTTTCAACACTGAGAGAAAAACCATTCAAAATAACACTTTAATCCTATTGATTCTGTTGGAACAGTTTGAGATGTGAGTAAAATTAGACGTAGGGCAAAAGTCAATAAGACAGTAAAAGGGAGAAGGTTAAAATTAAGCTACTTTTTAGGCTCTTTGAAATCGTTAAAACCACTTAGCATTATAAAACTATCTCTTATCTGTTGATTTTTCGTATAAGCGACAGGTGAGATGTTTAGTCATTTTATCAATTTAAACATCCAAATTTATTGAACAAATGAACTATATATAAAGCCCCTTTTAATATTCTGCTTCCTATATTTCCTATATATCAAAATTTTTATTAATCCATGGCTAAAAATAAATGATGGAGTCCTAGGGAAGACTTTAAAATTTGATTTGCACAAATCCTCAAATTTTAGAATAGATTTGACTTGCAGTTTGTGCAAATATCTCTTTCTTACTAAAAACTAAAAATTTCACCCAAAACAATTCTAAATTTTAACATTTTGAATTACTTATCTGCAGTTATTTACACTCCATCTTGCTAAAATTTCAAATTAAAATAAATGGAGAATATTGTGTCTATGAGCCACAGATGCCCCCACTTGTAAATATGTTTGTGATTATAAGCATTGTGTATAAGTTTCATAACATTTGGTTGAGGCAAACTAACGTTAGAGAACAGAAACGACAGATTTAGCAATTTTTCCATTTATAAAGGGCATAACTCAAGAAAGGTAAAAGTTACGCAACCCAATTTCAAACTTCATCTGTGTTTTGTGGTAATAAGCATTGTGTATAAGTTTCATACCATTTGGTTGAGGCAAACTAAAGTTAGAAAAAGGAAACGAAAAATTCAGCAATTTTTATGTTGATAAAGGGGCATAACACATGAACGGTAACAGTGAACCCACCCAATTTCGAGATTTATGTGTTTTGTGGTAATAAGCATTGTGTATTAGTTTTATAACATTTGGTTGAAGCAAGCTTTAGTTAGAGAACAGAAACCAATTCTGGGGACGTACGGATGGACCGGACTGACAAGGGTAACAACACTTAATGCCCCATCACCTACTGGAGGTAAACAAAATTATCAAGTAGTAAACATTTATCTCACCTATTTTTCCCTTTGCAGTAGTGCAGGTGCAGATACAGAATTTTGAAAAAAAAGGGGGGGGGAGTACAAAAGAGGGTAGGATTTCCACCATATAATGAAAAATTTATGTGCCCCCCCCCCCCCCCCCCCCCCTGATTTTTAACTGTAAAACAACTAAGAAATTTAGATTTTCCCTAGGTACATAATCTATAAAACATGGACAGAATATCCACCATATGAACAAAAATTTATGTCCCCCCCCTTTTTTTAACAGTAAAACAACTGAAATTTTTATTGTCCCCATGATATCTTCTTCCTCTATACACAATGCATAAAAATGTTATGAATATTTAATTGAGATTCATCTCTTTCTATTGAGATATGAGAATAAAAGATTTTGTCAATTTTCAAAGGTTACGTATACATGTTTAATATACAGCAATAATTTTCAAACTGAAATAGGACTTGTAGAAAACTGTATGATTTATAAGATTCAATAAAAATTTGATATAGCAGAAACAGCTAAAATACAATATTAGGGAAAGACTTCCTTTTTGACCCCCACCCTTAATCCATATGTTGGCAAAGTCATGCACTCTCCCACTCTGCATTGCGGAGGCCGAAGGGGAATAATGCATTAATTTTTATCAGGTATGTGTGCAAGCTGACAAAACCTGGCCTACATAACTAGAAATTTTGATTCAAGCAATGTTGTTTACATTAAGTAGTAAGATACATAAAGACTCCCCTATCAACACATTCAAACTAGAGGTGATACAACTTAGTTAATATATTCAACTACCAGTTATCTACAAAAAAAAATAGCATAAGTGTTTACCGTTCAGTTATTTCTAATAGTAAATTAATGCAATAATGTTGATCAAAACTTTGTCATATTTGTTTCAAACAACAGATCTTGTACTATTGGGTGGGACTCGACATTAACATTGGGTTAAAAATCAACAATTATTTACAAGTGTCATAACATTTCAAATTGTTTATTTATAACAATAAATTCTTTATAAAACATATTATTACAGATATTAAGTTACCCCCTAGACAAAATTTATTTCTAAGACCATCTCTCTTCACTGTCTCTCATGTTACGTAATTCAAGAATAAAAACTGAAATAAGCAGATTCATGATTCGATCGAGGGGGTAGCCCAATTGCTTCCATTACAATCCCATTATCTTTAATACAAATATGCCTTGTCACGGAGTAAGACCCTAGAAGAGTATTATGCATTTATTGCAGTCATTCAACAACTTAAATGCATTTTAATATTTCAAATAAGGTGTGATAAATTATGCCAATAGACTGAACATGTGTTAAAGTATTAAGACAGATAGTTTTTGGTCGTAGTTATCAAATACTTGCGGAGTGAATTATGGACATGATTGAATAATTTGAGTGTTGAACAAGCTCTACATTCTTAAAATTTGATTTATATAAGTGTTCTGAGGTTATGAAATACAAAGTAATGTGTCGTGTTTCGGTTATAAATAATATAATTCTAAAGTCTGAAAAGTTAAATTATTGAACACTTCTGAAAAGGTACTGCCCTCATTTGTTGTTTTAATCTTCAGATTGGCGTAAACACAATCTGTAACTATTATAAAACATAAAATCATTGTGCAAATATTGGAACATCCCATTATTCAGGTCAGCGAGAGTTAAAAATTTAGTACAATTCATTTCTAAAGCAATACAGTTTAGTCTTGTTTTCTCATTTTGTCATCTGGGTATTTTTTTCTTTCCATGATTGCTTTATGTCCAGTGGCAGTTATTTCATGCATATTTAGGACGATCTGCCCATGATCTTGGTATCTGTATCTGAATGTGTATGTTTTAGTCATGCTGGAGATGATAGCTGTTTAAAACTCTTCTGTCAAAATTGCATTCAGTTACTTTTTAGTTGAACATGTTTATTCTACCAAAATAAGATGTGTGGTCAATATTCAGACATTTGACTGCTCCTTCTAATTTTTTGTTGGACCTTAAATATTTGACTGGTTTGAGGTACTGAAACCTTTCGCAACGGACCATATTGTTTGCTGGACCCTTGAAAATTCTACCTAGAATGTCTGAATGAATACCAGCATGATCTTTAATATATATCTGAACTCATCCGTGTGTAAATCTGTGTCACATCATTTATTATGAATTCATTTATACTGAAGGACTTTAAAAGTGCATCACATATTTTGGTGATTTTTTTCTACAAATCAGGATTGATCCTAATATAACTACTATTCATGCTTACCATACTTCTTTCAGTTTAGAAAATTGAATATCTTACTTACCTGAGGTTTATTGATCATACCGGATTATTGAAGTTGCATGAATTTCTAAAGGCGAAATTTGAAACCCATAAATTATTTTTTTAAATTATCTTCGTGAAACAATTCTGTCAGTCCATACCCACATTTGAATCAACAAAAAATGTTGCACTTCAATATTGCAGAGACTGAGCAATGAAAACCTGAATCAGGCCATAAGAATATTGGTTGCAACGTCAATTGCTAATCAAGTCATTGAATGCCATGGCAGACAGATTCACGCCATAAATGTTTCCCTTACACTTAAATGCCAAAGAATCTGCTGCAGAAAAACATTTTAAGCCCTAATGTTCAAACTGCATAATTGCCAAAACA